ATCCTTACAGCCCCCTCTCCCCAGACCTGTGCCCCAAACCAAGCCCTCTCCCGGCAGGACAGCCCCTCGCGGCCGAGACCCCAGCCGCCACCCCCCACCCCAGCGGCCTGGATATCCTGTGCCAACAATCCCCTGCCTTAACGCCGGGGAGGAGCCTGCGGGGAGCCCCTGTCTCCAGGGAGACGGAGGCAGACGGAGGTGAGGGCCTCGCCGCACACCCCTGGTTGAGTTCACTATAAGCACCTTGCTACGTGAGGGAACAAGGTCACCAGAGAGCAAAAAACGAAACCCCGGAACTGCGGGCGGGGCGGCACCAGAGTCCCCCAGATCGGGGGCCCGTGGAGGCGCCGCCAACGTCCCTCAGATGCAAAGCTCTGGAAATCTCTGGAATTCGTCACCCGTCCTTCAGTTGCTTGGGGGTGCGTACCGGAACCCCACCTCCAGAGGACATTCAGGCATTGGTGACACCTGGCTTTGGTGACACCTCCCTCAGAAGAGAAGATGAAGTGGAAAACTGCTTGCTCCATTGTTTTGCCAAAAAACCGTACAATGGGAAGAGTCAGAAGCAAGGGGGCGCCCCCAGCCGGCTGCTCAGCTCTCCCCATGGGTGACATTTCAAGACTGGCCTGGCTGCCAGATCCCGGGAGGCTGCCTCTCCCCCTCCCCCTCTGGGGTTCAAGATCCTGGGAACCCTCTCTTCTGAACCCTACCCCATGGCTGCCTCCCAGGGAGGGCACCCCCATCCCATCCCCAGTTTCCCTAGAGAATGCAAGAGAACTTTCTAGTGAGAAAAAGAAAAATGACCCCCCACCTGTAAAGGCTACCTCATTGAGCCCACGCTGTGATTCAAATGATCACGTCTGATACCAAAGATCCCCCATCCCCAAGGGTTTGTGCTGGACGCCAGGGTGTCCCCACCCTCACCCCATGGCTGTCCCCCACCCGAGAGAGAGAGAGAGAGAGAGAGAGAGAGAGAGAGAGAGAGAGAGAGACAGGAGGACAGCGAGGTCGGTGAGTGCCTTCTTACAGAACCAAAGATGTGTGTAGAGTGTCCTCTGTCCTTAATGACTTGCCGCTCTCCCATGGAAGCAACTTGGATGGATGCTTCTAGAACCTTCCTTCGGGTGTGAGGCAGAATGCTCAGAGTGAAAAGAGTCCCCCATTCCCACTCAGCAAGAAACAGGTCTCTGCCCCCACTACACACAGACATACACACACTCACACTAGCGCACACACACACACACACACACACACACACACACACACACACACATGCACGCACGCGCGGCTGAAGAGACGGCTCAGTGGTTAAAAGCACCAGCTGCTCTTGCAGAGGACCCAGTCTGGGTTCTCAGCACCCAGTTTCAAAGGACTTGGTGCTCTCTTCCGGCCTTCAAAGGCATCTGCAGCCACCTGCACATACCCATACACGATTAAAAATAAATTTTTTTGTTGTTGCTTTTTGGTTTTTAAGAGACAGGGTTTCTCTGTGTAGCCCTGCCTGTCCTGGATCTCGCTCTGTAGACCAGGCTGGCCTCGAACTCACAGAGATCCTCCTGGCTCTGCCTACAGAGTACTGGGATTAAAGGCGTGCGCCACCACCGCCGCCATCTGGCTAAAGTAAATCATTAAAACACACACATGCTAGCTCCCATGTGAGGACTCAGGCTCTGTCTTCCCACCTCCATGTAGGTACTAAGCCCCTTTCCCTCACACTCCCACATTCCTGATTTATGGCTCCAAAGCTGTCTTGCCCAGTAGACACAGATGACCCATCCTATGACCCAGCAGGCCCAAGACTCACAAAACGAGCAGAGAAAAAAAATGAAGTATGACATGGTGGCTCCCATCTTTGATCCCAGCACTCAGGAGGCAGAGGCAGGAGGATCTCTGAGTTCACACAGCAAGGCCCTGCCTCAAAAGATCTATGACTCAATGTCAAGTTAGAAAATCCCTGAGGGCTAGGATCACAGGCATGCACCGTCCTTCAGATGAGTTGTGTTTGTCTTTTTCTTTTCTGTTTTCCTTTCTTTTTCTTTTGTTTCTGGTGGTGATAGGGATGGAACCTAGGATCTAGTGCATTCTAGGCAAGTATTCTCCATTGACCACACCCCAGTCCCTCACTGGGGGATTCTAGTTGGGGGCGAACTTTTTCAAATACTATCATGTACACACACACGTACACACACACACACACACACACACGTACACACATACACACGGGCCCTCTCTGGGCCCAGACGCATCTCCATTATCCTCATCTGCCCCATACACCTTGTGGTCCTTACCTACCAAAGATCTTTCCTACACAGGGAACCCACAGTCCAGCACAATTCCTTCAAGCCTTTGACAATTCTCTCTGAAATACCTCAAAATATTTAATGTATAGTTTATGTGCTAAAAACAAAACAAAACAAAAAAAACCTTAGCTAGTTTTGGGATTATGTGACTCGAAGCTTTATACCTTTAAATTATAATTTTGCAAATAATGGCATGTTTATCTCTGACCGGTTCCGTGGGAGACGCATCGAATGTCAGAGCAGCGAAGCCGGTGGTCCCTGGGAGGGTGGGGGGCCGGTGTCCTTCTCAGATCTCCTGTGTACAGGAGTCTCTTAGGAACGAGAGAAAGGCGTGCTCGACGGCTGGACCTTTCCCTGGCTGCTTCTGTTTGCTTGTTTTATGGAGTCGTGTCTTCTGAGAGTATTTATGATTCTATGTGTTCCGTGTTCAAATGTAATTTAAGAAAAAAAACAAGAAAAATGAAAACCAAAGAGGTGATGGAATTCTGTATATTCTGAAGCTGTGACAGGAGGGCGGGGCTGGGTATCACATTCATCCTTGTCCTCCAGGACCGGTTGGTCCTGTCCTGTGGCCCTCTTTCTGTCCGCATTCTAACTCCTTCCTAAGGAACTGTGTCCAAGAAGGTGGCAAGGTCCTGAGTCAGGGAGAGGGGCCCTGGAGCAAGCCAGACCTGAGCACTGTTCACTTCCTTCTTCTCACCCCCACCTCCTGTGTGTCCAGCTTGTCAGAGGGCCACTGACCCCCGCCCCCTCCGCTGCATCTGGGGTACAGGTGGGTGGCTGTGGACTTCTTCCCCTCTCCCACCCAGGTAGGTTTCACTTTAGCACAAATTTTCCAAGCCTCTTCAGAACAGACAACAAAGAAATTCATGAGTGTAGACAGGAAGCAGGATCAGTGCACCCCACTTCCCCAGATGCCGAAGCCTAGTCACCTCTCCTGGGACATCCTCGGCTTCCCCAGGCATGGGGTAGTCCAGCCACTTGGGGACACTGGCAAACAGGGCTCTGTACGCCCCCCTAAGTGGAGAAAGAAGTGGGTACAGGCCATCTTGTGATTCCTGTGCTTTCTGCCCCCTCCCATCCTGGAGGTTTCAAGGAAACGAGCCAAGGGCTAGCTTCAAACAGCAGGCCCCACGTCACAGGACTGGGGTCAAAGGACCGCTCCCGGGGTGCGGGGAAGCGTGATTCTAGACGTTTGGTCTTATTGTCCCAAAATGGTTCAACCAAAGTTCAGCCACCAGGTACAGGGTTTATCCTGGTGGCCGTCAGATCCCCTGAGGGTGGGTGTTGGCAGGTTATCTGAGCCCGGAGCAGTGTGAGGGAGGCCTTCCAAGTATTTTCAGAGAAAAACAGGAAATCAGGCTGCTCTTGGAATCAGTCAAAGGCTCCAGCTGCTAGTGGAAGACTGAGAGCAGCCTTAAGCAGGCCAGCCCCCAGCTGACAGGCAAGAGAAGCTGTCACCATTAGAAACTGTCCCGTGCTGGGTCTTTCCTGGTCATCCGGCCACACATGTGCGTTGGCCAACTGTGGACTGGCACAGATCGGGGAAGAGCAGGGTGGCCCTCTGGGTGGAGGGGGAGACTTGTCCCATCTGCTGCAGAGCGCACCCCACTCGACCGTCCCCAGGTGTACTGGTACTTGCTCCGCCCATGACCTTGGGCTGTAGGGCCCAAAGGAGGACCTCTTAAAAGGCAAGGGACAAGGGTCACATGCCCCTCCTCCCGGCTCCTGCCTGTGAGGTGGATTTGCTCCCCCTCAGGTCAGAGGATCTACTCCCTTCTGTATTCGTGAATTCCCTCAATTTATATCTTTTTGTTTTGTTTTGTTTTTTGGTTTTTCGAGACAGGGTTTTTCTGTGTAGCTTTGCGCCTTTCCTGGATCTCGCTCTGTAGACCAGGCTGGCCTCGAACTCACAGAGATCCGCCTGGCTCTGCCTCCCGAGTGCTGGGATTAAAGGCGTGCGCCACCACCGCCCGGCAATTTATATCTTAATAAATCCCTATGCCCATTTAATAGACTCACGTGGAGTGACCTTAACGCCCAGGTCAGGGCCGGTCAGCCAGGCCGACCTTGAGATTCGGACCACATCGGGGCCTGCTTCTGAGATCTCTACTTACTGCTTCAACTAAGGGAGGTTGCCCGCAGGAGCAAGGGCGGAGGGTGCTGGGGTACAGTTTAAACCAAGGTAGGTGTGGGGTGGGGCCCGAGGTCTGGCGGAACCTGATCTCTTCCTTTTCTTTCTCAAAAACAACGAAGCTTTATGTGCTTAGAAGGAGGATAAAAGCCAACACAAATATTTTCCTGAAATTAAACTACTTGACCAGCAGGGGTCAGTGTTTTGATGATTTGGGGGTTTGGGGTTTAGGGGTTTGGGTATTTCTTTTTTAAACCTGGGAAGGAATGTTCCCAGGCTTCTACCAAAAGAGTTGGAGAAGCCGTGAACCCAAACAAGCCCTGGGGCCAGAGGGACCCTGTTTTATTAGAAAAGGCAGGGATGTGGTCTGTCTCCTGGCACTCTGTTGTTGACTGTATGCCTGCTCCCGTGGGGACAGGGGGAGCTGCTGCAGCTTGAGCGCTGTGGAGATCTGACTGGAAAGGGCACTGGGGCCCACGCCATGCTCCCAGGTGGCTGTCCCACTGTACCGGATGACGGTCACTCTCCCAGCCATGGGCCTCTGGTCAGCTCGAGTTGTGGCTGTGTTACTTCGTGGGGACTTACAGCTGGCTCTTCGAAGAGGCTGAGCCCTTCCAAGGAGGCCTCCTCCAAGAAGAGGTCCTGACATCCAAGCGCTCCGGCCGGCTGGCCAGGGTGTACTCTGAAGGCACACTGTGGAAGGCTTGGTCATCGGACGAAGACACCTGGAGTGACCCCGACGTGGCGCTTGTGATGGTGGGCGGCTTCCCAGTGTCAATGGGCCGGGTGTCCAGGTTCACAAGGTCCTGCTTCTCCATCTGGGAGCTCGCTAGGGTCTCCTCCGGCTGGGACCTCTTTCCATAGTGGTGGAGTTTCTTCTTAGCCAGGATGGAGATCTTCCGCGGATTAAATATTGACTCTCTGTGGTTGAAGGACAGGTTCTCTTCAGATGGGTTCGGGGACTCCCAGACCGTGTCCCCACCACATTCTGCCGTGGGCCTGCGCAGGATGGTGCCCTGGGTGATCAGGTCTGCGTAGCCCTCACGGTGGGAGAAGGCGTAGCTGGATCTGCGGGCGGCGGTGCCCCGGCGAAGGTGCCTCACGGCCGGCTCCACAGCCACTTCCTCACTCGGGATCTCCTCCTCCTCCTCCTCCTCCTCCTCCTCCTGCAGAGCCGAGGAGACAACGGGGCGGGGGCGGGGGGGCGGGGGAGTTAGGGTCCCTTGTCCCCCATGGGGAACACACGGAGCTTCCCAACACTGGTCCAGCCAACTGGCATCTGACCTGGAAACAGATTCTGGACCAGCTATCAGTCCTTCACATGGACCTCAGAGACAGCTGGGTTGGTAAAGCCACTTGCCTCCAAAAGCCCGTTGACCCGAATAATCCACACAGTGGTAGTCTACACATGGTAGTCCACACATGGTAGTCCACACATGGTAGTCCACACATGGTAGTCCACACATGGTAGTCCACACATGGTAGTCTACACATGGTAGTCCACACATGGTAGTCCACACATGGTAGTCCACACATGGTAGTCCACACATGGTAGTCCACACATGGTAATCCACACATGGTAGTCTACACATGGTAGTCTACACATGGTAGTCCACACATGGTAGTCCACACATGGTAGTCCACACATGGTAGTCTACACATGGTAGTCCACACAGTGGAACCAGAGAACAGACTCCCAAAACCTGTCCTCTGACCTCCACAAATGTCCCACAGCATGGACCACTCATACTCCCACCCCACCCTCACTACATAAAGAAAGAAATGTGGATTTAATAAGAGCCTTTCCTGGACTCTCCACTGGGCAGATCATCAGTCTTTCCTTGGGACCTGACTGAGGACTTTATATCAGAAAACAAAATTTTTAAAATTTCTTAAACTTGCACGCCTTTAATCCCAGCACTCAGGAGGCAGAGGCAGGAGGATCTCTGTGAGTTCGAGGCCAGCCTGGTCTACAGAGTGAGTTCCAGGACAGCCAGGGCTACACAGAGAAACCCTGTCTCGAAAAACCAAAAAAGGGTTGGGGATTTAGCTCAGTGGTAGAGCGCTTGCCCAGCAAGCGCAAGGACCTGGGTTCGGTCCTCAGCTCTGGAAAGGACTGCGTTAGGGCCGGCCGGGTGGTGGCGGGATGTGGTGGAGGGAGATGTGGCTGGGGGTTGGAAGAGCACTGCCGCTCTCCCAGCACCCACATGGCAGCTCACAGCTGTCTCTAACTCCGGTTCCAGGTGAGCCGATGCCTCCCTCCCTCCCCTGTGGGCGCTGGGCCCTCACATGGATGCAGACAAAACATCCACACACATAAGAAATAAAAAATAAATGAATCATAATTTTCTTTTCAACTGCCACCTTATCCTCATTTAAGGACAGTTTCTGGCTCTAAGCACACCACAAAGTTGTACAACTGTTACTTCCAGAATATTCTGTCACCCCTAATGAAGCCTCATTCTGCTGTGGGATGGTCTGTATGGCAAATGTGTTGCTGATTAGTCAATAAATAAAACACTGATTGGCCATTGGCTAGGCAGGAAGTGTAGGCGGGACAAGGAGGAGAATAAAGCTGGGAAGTGGAAGGCTGAGTCAGAGAGACACTGCCAGCCGCCATGATAACAAACAGCATGTGAAGATGCCGGTAAGCCACGAGCCATGTGGCAAGGTATAGATTAATGGAAATGGATTAATTTAAGCTGTAAGAACAGTCAGCAAGAAGCCTGCCACGGCCATACAGTTTGTAACCAATATAAGTCTCTGTGTTTACTTGGTTGGGTCTGAGTGGCTGTGGGACTGGCAGGTGAGAGAGATTTGTCCTGACTGTGGGCCAGGCAGGAAAACTCTAGCTACAAATGGTGCCCAACGTGGGGCAAGAGTTTCCACCTAAAACCTGAGAAAAGATTCTAAAATGGAGCTAAAAACAGCTTCCTAATTGTCTCTCTCAAATGAGCGGCAGCTGCCGGTTTGAGCTACTGGCGGGTTCCTAGCTCGACCTGCAGTATGGCAGGAATGAGGCCTCTGCAAATGGCACATTAAGCTGCATGGTGGATTTAGCCTTTGCTAGTACAAAACAAAAAAAAAGAGGTTTTTGGGCTACACGGTGCTTGGATAAAAGCATAGAGACCAATGATAGCTCCCAGAGCTGGTGGAAAACGCCATGTTGGGAAGCTGAGGTGGGCAGAGCCAGCAGCCACAGCTGCTGCAGTTTAAGGCAATAGATTCACAATAAGACAGATTCAGATGTAATAGTTTACAATGTGTGTAAAAGATACATAGGCTTGAAAGAGACAAAAAAGGTGATATATAGAGTTATAGAAACAAATACATCGTTTTAAAAAATAAAGTCTTTAAAGAGACAGTAAAGGTAGTATAAAAAATAAGCCACCTAAAAATGGATATTACACAGAGAATCTGGATTGTGTTGTCTTTGGGATTTTTAACTGCAGAAAAACATTTGATTGTAAAAGCTGTTGAGTTGTGCCAAAATGTATATTTTAAAGATACCTTGACTTCAAAATTTGGATGTAAGAACGTGTTGCTTTAGAAAGGAGTCTCTGCTTTTGTTCCCACAGAAAGCCAGAGGCTATGGATTTGTTCCAGATTAAGATACATCAGGTTTGACCAGCCAAGACCCCCTTAAAGGTCTCCGATGACACCATGGCCCAGATGATCCAACATCCAGAACGGTTTGAAGGCAACTGGCTCAGACGATACACCCTCATGGACTACTCCATAATCCTAAAATTTTCTTTGTGTCCCCATAAGATACAGCGCCCCCCTCCAGCAGGAAGTAGTAAGAGAAGCTACGCCCAAATTCCCAAAATATATGTAATTTTACTTTGTTAAGGTTAAAACCTTCCTTTTTGAAAAAAAAAAAGGGGGGGAAGTGCTGTGGGATGTTCTGTATGGCAAATGTGTTGCTGATTAGTCAATAAATAAAACACTGATTGGCCATTGGCTAGGCAGGAAGTGTAGGCGGGACAAGGAGGAGAATAAAGCTGGGAAGTGGAAGGCTGAGTCAGAGAGACACTGCCAGCCGCCACGATGACAAACAGCATGTGAAGATGCCGGTAAGCCACGAGCCACGTGGCAAGGTATAGATTAATGGAAATGGATTAATTTAAGCTGTAAGAACAGTTAGCAAGAAGCCTGCCACGGCCATACAGTTTGTAACCAACATAAGTCTCTGTGTTTACTTTGGTCGGGTCTGAGCGGCTTGGGACTGGCAGGTGAGAGAGATTTGTCCTGACTGTGGGCCAGGCAGGGAAACTCTAGCTACATCATTCCTATGAGAGGTTACCTGCCCCCCACAGTCCCCGTCACCCACACTCCACTTCCCACCTCTGGGCTCCCCATCATGGAGTCCCACACTGTGGCATTTGTGTTTGGGTCTCTCACTGACCACGGTGTCTCTGAGGGTCCCTCCAGGCTGTGCCCTACTATCATTCTTTTTGGAGCCTGAGCCATACTCCAGCATATGGCTGGGCCACACATGGTCAGCCCACGGATGGATGGATACTGGAGCTACTTCCCATTTTGCCTAAACTATTCTGAAGCTACCTGCCTCCCTCCCTGGGCAGGAACCCCTCTGTGTCAAGGAGTACCCTAAGACACACACCATGCTCAGGGATTTGGGCCTCAAGGACACCGGGAGTCCCTGGAGCACAGTGTCTGTGACAGCTGGGAGGAGGGGTCGGTGGGGGCGTCCACAGCTCTGCCTCACCTTAAGCCGCAGTTTCAAAACAGTTTTGCGGATCACACGAAAGGCCAGGACTGGTAGCGTATTCAGGGTCACATTGAGCATGATCACCAGCAGGTTGGCAGGCTGGCTGAGCACATTGTAGTCAGCGATCTGAAGACAAAACAGACAGGAGGCGTGAACACCAGCGCCCCCCTCCCCTCAGTCACGGGGCACTACCCCGCCAGCTCCCCTCCTCCAGATGACGAGAGGTAACTGCCTCCTGTCCATCCCCTCCCCTACACAATGGAGGCTCACACAAAAATGGGAAGGTCTTTGGTGAAATCTTGTACAACCACATGCTCTGGGTGAAGCTTGTCATGAGGACGTAGGAGGCGAGGCTGAGCACGATGCTGCCCACACACAGGAGTGTCCAGTACTTAATGACAAGAATAACCTGCACGGGGAGCCAGGAAGTCAGCGATGGGAGGCAGGACACGGAGCCGGGGGTTCGGGGAAGTCAGCATTGGGGGCTGGGGAGAGTGTCCGATCTCCAGCACCCATGTGGAAGCTGCTTGCCGGGTGTGACCGCACACGCCTGTCATCCCGGCCAACCTCTGACTAGATGGGAGACAGTGACCAAAATCTGCAAAGCCCACGGCCAGATAGCCTGACCACATACCCAGTTGTGACGGTTTCCTTCCAGATTAAAGCATTTCATGCTGCAGGAAGCTCCTTAAGCAGGAAGGTAAACAACACAAAGTAGCTCCAGGAAGTCCCTGAAACTGACCAAATGCACTAGGCCTCTCCCTCACAGAGTGACCAATAATGTCACTGAGACCAGCAGCCTGTCTGGAAGACACAAAAACCAGCTGGGCTGCCTGAAGAGGTTTAGAACCCAAGTCACTTGGAAAGGCCACTCTCCAACTTGTCATATGCCTGCAGGCTGTGCAGTGTGCCCCAGTTTTTGTGAGTTGTCACCATACTGGGTCGGGCTTTAGTGAAGTCACTTCTGTTCCTGTGAGTGACCCCTCACCACACTCCTGGAAGTGCCCATGAAACACATCGGTCCACCATGCTGGACTTTGGTGGATCTGCACTTTGGTCTGTCGTGGACTCCCTGTCTGGGGTGGGGAGACTGGTGTATCGTGTGTCCCCAGGAGGTCTTGTCACATAACAGCAGCAAAGGACAAGACTACGCCTCAATCGAAATCAGTATCCAAGGGAGTCCTCTGACTTCCACAGCACGTGTCCACACAGGCAGGCACATACCACGCACATTCTAAAAGCATTCTTGAGTTGAGCACGATGGTGCACACCTTTAATCCCAGCTATCTGAAGGCAGAGGCAGGTGGATCTCTCTGAATTCAAGGCCAGCCTGGGCTACAGAGTTTCAGGTCAGTCAGAGCTGCATAATGAGACCTCATCTCAAACAAACAAACAAACAAATGAAGAAAAAGGTAAGGAGGAGAAGAAAAGACACAAAACACAAGACACCCAAGACTTTTTAGAGGGTGGCCTGAAGGGAGGGCTCAGCAGTTAAGAGCCTTGCTGCTCTTGGAGAGGACCTGAGTTCAGTTCCCAGCTGTGGGGATAAAGCTTGCCTGGAGATCAGAGTGTGGAGCTAGCCACTAGTTAGCTGTAGAGGCCAGACAGTGGAGGCTCACACCGGTAATCCCAGCACTTGGGATCGCATGCCTTTGATCCTAGTACTTGGGAGGCACACGCCTTTGATCCCAGAACTAGGGAGGGGGAAACAGGAAGTGGCATGGCTGGACAGAGAAAGGAGTATAAGGCGGGAGGAGACAGGCGCTCAGCCCTTTCAGGCTGAGGAGTTGGTGAGGTGAGAGGTGGCTATGGCTTCCTCTTTTGTCTCTCTGATCTTTCAGCATTTACCCCTAAAAAAAAGAAAGAAAGGAAGGAAGAAAGAAAGGAAGAAAGAAAAGAAGGAATGTAGAAAGGATGGGATAAAGGGTGAATTATTGAATCTACTCTGAAAAAAAAGGGGGATATAGATAGGATAAAGGGGTAGATTATTGAATCTACTTTTTTTTTTTTTTGGTTTTTCGAGACAGGGTTTCTCTGTGTAGCTTTGCGCCTCTCCTGGAACTCACTTGGTAGCCCAGGCTGGCCTCGTGAATCTACTTTTAAAAAGCAACTACTTGTTTTAAATAATTTTGCATTGATATGGACCTTTGTATATTGATACAAAGTTGAGATTATTTTTATTAGAATATACAGTACATACATTTCTAATCTTGTTCAAGGCATTGTACCTATATATCTCATTTAACAATGTAATGCAAATTGCTAGTCATTGAAAGTTATTATTACAAACTATTTAGGATAATAAAGAAATGAAGGTTAATAGTTAGTCACCTATTACAATTAAACTTGCAGTCATGTTAGGTATGTTTTCAAGGTCAAACAGATATATTTTAGGTAGACAGGTGATCTTCAAACACTTCAGAGATTTACAGAATATGGCATTTAAACTGTTTTAACATAGTTTTTTTTTTTTTTTGACAGTGAGCCATGTCTACTCCAGGCAGCACCAATCTACTTCAGAGAAGATGATGGGCATAGAAGAAACTCCATATGGAGTTCACTTTCTTTGTGGCCAAAGTTAGTAACTGGGCAAGAAACTGCCCTTGCCTCAATTGCTGACGGTATGCTGTCCAAACGGACAAGCAGGACACAAAACAAAGGACTGCCGAACTTTGTCGAGACCAAGTAGGAAGGCCCTTCAGGAAATCCTGCTCCACAGAGGAGTCTGTCAGATATACCAGGCCTGTAGGCCGAAGATGGATGCCCCAACACTGCAGAGGAACCCTGGGTGACTGCCAGGCAGCTGGCCATTTCTGTCATTTCTCACATATTTTGGAAGTCCCTTACGTGCACTTTCTCCTTCTCAGGTCTCTGATGGAGTTTATAGTTATAGTTTTCCTTGTTACCAGATTCAGAAAAGAAATTCACTAAAGAGGTGTAAAGTGTATAAGGTTGAGAGACATTAAATATATCTGGCTCCCAGTTTTTATTATTAAAACCAATTAGGATTCATGCTCCACCCAGCACCCATGTCAGCTGGCCCACAAGCACCTGTAACTCCAGCTCCAGGGGATATGATGCCCTCTTCTGGCCTCCGTGGTCTACTGCATGTGTACGTGCACACGCGCGCGCTGCGCACACACACACACACACACACACACACACAACACACACACCACACACAGGAGAGAGAGAGAGAGAGAGTTAAAATGAAACAAATCTGTTTTCTGAGACAGTGTTTCTCTCTGTAGCCCTGGCTGTCCTGGAACTCTGTAGACCAGGCTGGTCTCGAACTCACAGAGATCTGCCTGCTTCTGCCTCCTGAGTGCTGAGATTAAAGGTGTGCGCCACCGCCCTGGCAAAACAAGTCTTTTTCTTTAAGAGGATTGAGTAAAAAGTCAGTGTGAGGCAGAGGTATCCATGGTTTCTCAGGAGTCATGGTTCCACCTACCTCCATGGTGATAGAAAGCAGCCCAGATATTGCCACCAGTACCCCAAGGGACTGGTAGTCACTGGAACTGCCAGACTTGGAGATGTCATGGCTGACCAGCACCGGTACGAAGAAGTTGATGATAGATGTGAGGGCGCCGTGGACAATGGCTTGCAGGAAGATGCTGTAGTTGAACAGCTCATCTTTCTGGCCAGCCACGTACAACTTGGGCATCTTTAGGCTCTTCTCAGCAGTCACGTCCTGGACAGGAGGCAGAGGCTCTATAGTGGGGTCAGGAAGTGGTGGAGTCTGCAAGTAGGGCTCAAAGAGCGTCTCCAGACGTTCATTTCAGCACGTGGTAACGCACTCAAACCAAATGGCCCAATTTTTTTCCCACCAAAATAAATAAGTAAATATGTAAAATTTAAATGTGGGATAGACTCGAAACCCTTGTCTCAGTCCCACCTGTCCTCTCTGGCAGGGTCACTCTGGGTCGTGAACGGGAGGAACAGCAAAGAGCCTTCCTCTGGAACCCTCTTCCCATTACACAGAAGGCTGGATAGAAGACCTGGTTCTCAGGGTGCCAGAACCTCTCCAGCCAGAGGCCCCCCTCCCGCAGACCCCATGAGACAGAGCTCTGGAAAGAGCAGGTGGTCTGCTGGGTGAAGAGAGACAGGACACAAGACCTGCCTGGCACTCACCTGCTCAAACAGACCGATGTACAGGACTGGGAGCGTGGAGTACATCAGGTTAAAGAGAGCCAGGAACCAGCCTTCATACAGGGGCTGCAACGGAGACCAGACCTCACCAGGGGCCCCGCGGCCCGCGGCCGGCCGCCCGGGACAGGCGGCAACAAGGACAGACGTCCAAGTCTGGCACTTTAGAGGTTCTACAAGCCAGTGGAGAGAATGAGCTTCTAGACTCTTCTAGAATGGCATCAGGTTTGATTCTGACTAATGGAGCTAGAAGAGACCCAGGAAGAGCCGGCTCAGCTCTTCTCTTGATGCCAGACCTGACTGAGCTAAGAATAAACACCAGGAACCCAGAGCCTGAGCACCCCAACCCTGGGGAGGCTGATGCAGGAGGATGTCCAGCCTGGGCTACAGTGCTCACCTTGCACTCACAAAGCCTTGGTTTCACCCCAGCACATGTACTCAGCGGGGGAGCCCCCAAGGCTCTGTGCACAGTAGGTCAGCACCCCACCAACTGAGCTACAGCCCCAGACACTCACTCTGTGTTCTGAAACAGGTCTAACAACAACCTAGCTCTATTTTATTTTATTATTTTGGTTTCTCTGTGTAGCCTGGCTGTCCTGGATCTAACTCTGTAGACCAGGCTGGCCTCGAACTCACAGAGATCCACCTGCCCTCCACTGCCGCCCAGGCTTTACCTTGAACCCATGGTAATCTTCGTGCCTCATCATCCTCAAAACTGTCATGATAGGGGTGCACCACCACACCTGATCTGCCCAGGTAGTCTTGTACTAGTGGGCAATCCTCCTGCCTCAGCTTCCCTAGTGTCAGGATGACAGGCAAGGGACCACGCATCCTCCCGCGCTCCCCACACACACCTGTGCGGTGAAGCCGTATGAACAAGGAGAACCAAATCTGGGCCATCATGCTCGCCACCGTCTTGTAGAAAAAGTAACGCAGGAACTTGCAGACGCGCATGTAGGACCAGCGTCCATGCACAAGGAGCAGCCGCTGCAGGTAGCAGAACTGGGCCAGCACGTAGTCGCTGTTCTGAACGGCCTGCATGCCCTCCTGACCCGCGAGGCCCACGCCGATGTCTGCAGCTGCAGGGGCCACGGCAGCCGTTACCAGGCACCCTGGGCCCAATCCTCAGGCTCCACCCCCCAGGCACACCCCCAGGCACACCCCCAGCACCCACTCTTGATCATGTTCACATCGTTGGCTCCATCTCCGATGGCCAGCGTCACCACCTGCTGGTATTTCTTCACCAACGCCACCACCAGGGCCTTCTGCTTGGGTGTCACCCTGCAGCAGATGACAGCCTGGCATTTGGAGGCCAGGTCTACAAAGGCCCTCTCCCGCCGCTCTTCGAGGCTCTCGCCAGTCTTGGGGGTGACTGACGGGGATGGTGCCAGGGAGGACCCAAAGTTTCGAAACATCTGGGAGATCCTCCGCGCCTGGAGAAAGTCCATCCTAGACATCACCGGCTCCTGGTCGACCTCATCCACCACCGCATTCTGGACCAGAGCTCGGGGCTCCTTGCGCAAGGACAGGAGCAACTGATCCTGGGGGTGTCCGAGGTGGGAGACGGGATGGGGAAGAGGGGGCTTGGGTCACTAGGCCCGCATCACTGTCCTCGGCATGTCCCCCACCCCAAGTTTCACCAGCCCGACTGCCCCTCGCCCCCAGTGACACTCACCAGGAACTCCCCATTGATGATCAAGGCCATGTTGTGGTGGGTCATCATCTTGAACGACCTGTGCTGTTCGCTTTCGTTCCAATAGTTGTCCAGTAAACGCCTGTTGGGACATGGGATGGATGGAAAAGTGGCGCCATCGTCCTACCCATGGGACGGTGTGAGGGTGGCAGGGAGGCCGACCTGCTTACTTGATGTCCTTATCTTCCATAATGATCATGTTCTCCGACAGCAGCTTGCACGCGAAGCCGATGTTCACCGCAGTCTCTGCAAACCCAGCCAGGTGCACGCACTTGGGCTCAGCGCCGGATCCAGGAGCCCCGCCCCGCGCCCGGAGGCCCCGCCCACCACGGAGGTCCCGGTTCCTTGCGGCCTCCTCCCCCCACCTCCCGGCTGGCCGCAGTGATTGGTCCGGAGCGGATGCTGTCATAACAGGGGCTGGCCATCATTGGGAGGCCTGGGACTTCAGCCGCTGGGCCTAGGGAGTCTGAAAGGGATGCGGGTGCGCGAGATACCAGGGAGCTGGGATAGAGTTGGGATCCTGAGGCCCACCACACTTTGAGGCAAACACAAAAATGTCAAATTTATTTGAAAGTCAGAAGCAAAAAGTCAAAAAGAAAACAAACTGAAAACAAAACAAAAAATAACCAAAAAATTTAAAACTCAAAAATTGTCTATACAAGGGTACGAGGGAGCGCCTCAACGCTGACCTGGAGGCCCACAGGAGGCCACCTCAGGCAGGTGTGTGAAGGGTCCCCACCCGGCTGTGTGATGGTCACGACGAAACTCTCCCGGAGCACCGGGGTTGCGCGAGGCACGTGTCCCACTCCTGGGGACAGCGCTGAGGGCGCTGCAGCCGGTGGGACAGCGACCCAGGTGCGGCAGAGCCGGGACCCACCTGGCTTGTCCCCGGTCAGCACCCACATTTTAATGTTCCCCTTCTTGAGGCAGTTGATGGTCTCAGGCACGCCGTCCTGCAGCTTGTCTTCAATGGCTGTGGCTCCCAGCAGCTGGGGGCAAGCACAGGGTTAGACCACAAGACCCAGGTCCAAGGAGCCCAGCCGGCCGGTCCCCACCCTGCCGGTCCACCCACCTGGAGGTTCTGTTCCATCTTGTTGTACACCTGGTGCAGGGCCTGCGCACGGTTTCTGCAGCAAGAGGGCGGCCTCCTGGTGCTCAGGTTCCCATTGTTTATAGGCATCCTCCGCCACCTCCTTGTAGGCCAGGCACAGGGTGCGCAGGGTCTGCTCCGCGAAGGCCTGCGGCAGCCGGACTATGAACACCCGACCACCAGTCCTTAGGGTCCTGCTTATCCCAGGGTCACCAGCGCCCTCGTCCCTCTGGACCTTTGCACAGGTGGCACCCTCTCTGCTAATATCCTCCCCATGCATGGCTCAGACAATTCTTTCTTTCTTCCTTTTTTGGTTTTCCCAGACAGGGTTTCTCTGTGTAGTTTTGGTGCCTGTCCTGGATCTCACTCTGTAGCCCAGGCTGGCCTCGAACTCACAGAGATCCGCCTGGCTCTGCCTCCAGAGAGCTGGGATTAAAGGCGTGCGCCACCACTGCCTGGCTCCAATTCTGTCTTGAGACTTGATAGCCCAGGCTAGCTGAGTTCCTCACCCTCCTGCCTCAGATCTCCAGAGCTAGGCAGGTGCTGTGTGTCTACACTCCGGTCCCCCCCCACACACACACCCTTGTAATCCACCCACCTCAAGGTCCCGGTTCCAGGACTCCTCCTAACATCACCATGGGGAGGGGACACTTTTGACCCCAGCATCCTTCAGGGTTCTCCCTTTCAGGCCCTTGGGCAGATTTGAAACATGTTTACTCCTGAAGGCCAGGAAAAGGTGCCTACTTGCTTCTCATGTCCCTCTATCCCATAAGGGCCCCTGGAACTTTGACCACAACTAGTGGCTGACTGGGGTGGGGGGTCGGGCTTGACTGTCAGCTGGGTCTCCATTGTGATGGACACCTCAGACAGGTTCTTCACTGGACCTCAGTTTACCCACCCACTCTATGGAAAGTTGATCCATCTGATTGAGCCCCTGGACTCTGGGTCTTCATTTTGAAGGACCTGAATGCCCTCTCCCACAGCAGAGAAGGGCACCTGAGAACCCTCAGCAAAGCCCTTGGACACACAGACACTCCCGGCCCTGCAGGTTAGGGACTGAGGGCAGGACAGCTCTGAGTGAGAGAGGGGCCTGGAGGGGGTTTATGGCTGTGACTGGAAGATTCAAAGAATGACAGACAGAGCCATCACCAGAGCGTGTGCAGAGGTCCACCTGCCGCCTGAGCTCAGAGAATGTGCAAGTGTTGGCGGGACAGCGGGGGACAGCCCAAGGGACACAGGCCATCGGGAGTCAAGACACAATCCTCCAGCACTGAGTCAAGGAAACCTGGAGGCCAGCTGAGGTTGGGAAGGGACCAGGTGAAGGGGCATCTGAGGTCGAGCCCAACCCACCCTTGGGTACCCTGTGTGAAGTAGAAAGACACTGAAGAGTTCAGCACCTCTCGGCTTCTGTGTGGGTGGGGGTGGAACAAGGTAAACACGCGGATGAGCAACCTGCCCAAACGGAGGGAAGGCCTCAGTCTGCACCCGCTCACACTGGCCTCTCCCAGCAAACTTACAGCCAAGACTTCCTCTGTGGTGGCCTCCATGACACCCTTCTTGTGAAGACGCTCCAAGATGACTGTGTCTGCACCCTTGGTGTAGATGGCAGATGGAACCCTCTGGGTTTCGGACTGTGGGGGGAGGGTAAGGCCCTGATGTCTGCTTGCCCACTGCTACAAGCACAGGGGTGACAGGGAGGAGCCTGGGGCTCACCCAGCACTGACATCCGCTTTCGACGCTGTTGAAATCCATCATGGCCAGAACCTGGTAGACCCGTTCCTCCCCCAGCTCCACCAGGGTGATGGTGTCCTGGGTCCGAGACAAAAACACGTATCCAAAGTTCCTGGCAGCGGTAACCAGTGCTTCTTCATCAGGGGAGGCCGCCTGATACAGCAGCTGATCTGACCGATAAAGGGGGTGTGGGTAAGAAGGGGTGAAGGGTGTGGGTAAGAAGAGGTGGGGGGTAGGGTGAAAGGGAGTGGGGTGTGTGGGGTAAGAAGGGGTGAGGAGGAGGGGCAGGGGTGAGGAAGGGTGAGGAGGGGCGAGGTGAGGAGGGGCGGGGGTGAGGAGGGATGAGGGATGAAGAGGGGCGGGGTGAGGAGGGGTCAGGAGGGGCGGCCAGCCATCTCCAGCCCCTTAGACAGGCTCGCACAGCAGACCCTAACTGCAGCTCCCAGGCGGAGGGGCGTCCGGCCCTGGTGACCCCGGTGGCCCCGGACGCCGCCCGCCCGCACTCACTGTCTTTCTCCTGGACCATCACGGTGTGGCAGATGGCCAGCAGACGCCAGAACTCCTGCACTGCCCTGTCCTGCTGGCCTCGCACCAGGGACTCCAGCTCCTTATTGTAGAACTGGAGTTTGCCGTCGGCGAACAGGTTCCAGGCATAGGGGTTCCGCTGGGAGACGGCGGGGTGCAGGCAGGCAGGGTCAGGCCTCTGCCACACACGCCATCCAGGCCTACCCACGCTGCTCCACCGAGGCAGGGTCCACAGGGCTCACCTTTCGGGAGAGTACCATGCTCATCATCTGAATCTGGGGAAAGAACCAGCTTCAGGATTCGCCCCCCCCCCGCCCCGAGGCCACACTTTTGGGATCCCCTGGCTCCTGCCCCTGCTTCCAGGGGACACGTTACACATTATTACCGAGCTAGGGTTCTGAGTTTAGGTGTCCGTTAGGAGACCCCTAGGGCAGCCTCACTAGGAAGCTGTGGGGGCGGGGCGGGGCGTCACCGTAGACGTGGCCGTTGATACAGCACTTCTTGAAGGTCATGATGTTCTGTGTCAGAGTCCCGGTCTTGTCTGAGAAGATGTACTGCACCTGACCCAGCTGGTCGTTGAGGCTGGTGCTGCGGGCCTTGGCGGGCATGTCCAGGGGCTCGTAGTACATGTTGAGGTCCCAGTTGATGAAGAAGCTGTTCCCCAGGTAGATGAACTCGGCACTGCAAAGGGCCCAGGCCATGCTCAAGTCAGGTTTGCTCCAAGTTCACACCCTGTGGAGAGGGACCCCCAAGGCCTGCCCAGGAGCTTACATGATGAACATGGCCATGGGCACCATGACGCTGAGCAGGATGAGGAAGCCCCAGAAATGAAGAAAACCTCCATGGCCTCCGTGCGCTGGTGCAGCGCCGACACGTAGTAGTGTTTGCCTTTGAATTCTTTCACCGTGAAGGTGAAGCCCAGTGCTAGCAGCAGGGAGCCGATCACCAGGGACACGAAGATCTGTGAGGTGGATGGAGACGGGTGGGGGCCTGCACATGGGGTCCAGCAGACATGGGGATTCATCCAGGAGGGGCCTGGGGTAAGGGAGGGCAAGAGGGCTCTCTCGGGGTCCTAGTCCGGCTTCGGAGCTCTTTGTCTTTAATCAAAACTGGCCTCTGAGTCCTGACCTCCTGCATGAGGCTACCACAAAACATAACACAAAGGAGCCCAGGGCGGGTCTGTCACCTTAGTGCTGGGTACAGGCGGGGGGGGGGGGGGAATGGAAGCTCAACATTAGCCCAGGCTGTGTACAGCAATAAAAAGAAGCAGGAGGCAAGGGGGGGGGGGGTGAGGGGGCAACAGGGATCCAGGGCGTCTGCAGAAGAGTAGGGTCATCACCTCACTCTTCAGGGTCCCCCAGGCTCTCCTGGACGCCTTACCAGGACCACCAGCTTGTTCATCAGCAGGTCCAGCTGGTCCTCTTCAGATGAATCTTTCCACAGTTCTTCATGATCTTTGTGTCTAAACCTGCAAGATTTATTTCCATCTGTCATATACCTGCACACCATTCAAATGTCCACCCATCTATCCATCCACCTATCTATCCATTCAGTCATCTGTCCATCCATCCATCCATCCATCCATCCATCCATCCACCCATCCATCCATCCACCCATCCACCCACCCATCCATCCATCCACCCATCCACCCACCCATCCATCCATCCACCCACCCACCCACCCATCCATCCACCATCCATCATCCATCCATCCATCCACCACCCATCCATCCACCATCCATCCATCCACCCACCCATCCATCCACTCACCCATCCATCTATCCACCCATCCATCCATCCATCCATCCACCCATCCATCCACCCATCCATCCACCATCCATCCACCCACCCATCCATCCACCATCCATCCATCCATCCATCCATCCACCATCCATCCACCCATCATACATCCACCCATCCATCCATCCACCCATCCATCCATCCACCCATCCATCCACCCATCATCCATCCACCCATCCATCCATCCACCCATCCATCCATCCATCCACCCATCCATCAATCTATTCACTCACCCACCTGTCCATCCTTCCTTTCCTCTACACAGCAACATTTTATTTTCTCAGAGACAACCAGAGTGTTGACCACTAGTCTATCTGACAATACCCAGGGCCCATATCATGCAGGCTTTGGGGTCCCTCATCAACTTCAGGGTTCTCCCTCAGTTCCCCAATCCAGAGGCCCATGCGCTGTACCAGCGTAGATGACCAGGCCGTAGCAGGTGTCTGTGTTGCGGATCTTGCAGCCACGCAGGAGGAGGTTTCCGATGTCCAGTGGGTACTTCCTGCTGTTCCACTCCAGGCTCCCCACAAAAGTCATGCATCCGGCTGTTGGGCTCCTCACACGTCACTGTACCTGTGGGACCCGGTAAGCAGCAGCCACACGGCCTCAGCATTGGTCCCAGGCCTGCGGCTTCCTGCCACATTCCTATCGCTACCCAACTCAGGCCACCCTACTGGGTCCACACTCCTCCCTGGCACCCCAGCACCATCTCTCAGCTCCCTCTGAAATGCTCCAAAGTCGACCATCATGGCCTCAGGACTTATGCGTATTCTGTTCCTGCACCCAGTCACCCTCCTCTTTCCAGCCCCTTCCCTTGCGGCTGAATCTTGGATGAATGTCGTTGCAGTGTTCATGCCTTCAATGACATCAGTGTTTGTGAACCGCCCCTCCTCAGACATCTCTGTGACCTTCACAGGCCTGTAGAGAGATGGTCCACAGCAGGCAGGAAGACAGCCCTGCT